AGGGGCGGGTGGGCGGCTAGCCGCGGGAATAGAGATGCCCTCACGGCCTGCTGCCTTTGTGATAATCCCCGGCAAGTCATGGAGCAAAGCACCAGGCGCCGGAAGCATGCTGTTCAGCCAGGGGTAGCTCGCCTCCGCCGGTGTCCATGTTGGCCAGTAGGTCGATGGGAGAACCGGCTATAGAGGGAAACGAGTCAATGAACCCAGGCCCACTGATACCGAGGGACCCCAGGGGGTTGTCCGCCATGGGGTCGTCACTGCGTGTAGCCCAGGTGTTGCTGTCATCTGGGTCTTTCTCTTTCATGGCAGCAAAAACATCCACTCTCCGCTGTTTCTTTGCCACAGGCAGGCAAGCGCAGAAGGGGCAAGCGGCCAGGGGAGAGAGGGCCAGCTCGGCGTGCTCAGCGCTAAAGCAGGCGTCGAAGCGGGGATGCGGGTGGTTGGGCATAATGAAGCCCGTGTCGCAGCCGGTACATACAGTGACAGCAGGGCGGCGCCGGGTTCCAGTGGTGAAGGAAGTTTGCTCTTTAGCCATAGTGAATTTTGGAATGCTCTTTAGAACTGTTGAAGAAAAAGAGGGAGGCGAGCTCAGGTCACAGTGGCATTTATACCACTACTGTGGACCTAATTGAGGAGAGCTCAGTGCAGGGCACAGGGTGCGAAAGAATCTCTTCAGGACTGCGCATGCGCGAGGGATAAACCTAATAGCGACAGCTTTTAGAGGGCAAAGCCTATACGAAATAGAACAGGAACCTTATCCATTTATTTTCACTTGCTTTGCACCATGTTAAAAATAAAAGCTTTGTACACATACTCACCTCATGCAGAGTACAATGTGGATGTTGCTGCGAACCCTCCTGACGTAGGCAGCCATAAGGTTGGCTTTATTTGGCTGCTGGTGCAGGTCTAGCACCACTGGCTTCATTGCTGCCAGGATGCGCTCCTGCTCATCTGTTGCATACAGGTTAGGAACATCCCCCGAGTTCAAAATGTTGTTGATATCCTCTAGGAATGACTCACTCTTAATCTGCAGGATTAACATAAAGGCAATAATGAGCCAAATGCATAGAGAGCTATGTAATCACACATACTTTTATATTTAAAATGTTTTATTTATGCTTTAACTTTGATTTAAAATAAGCGCAACAGTACGACAGTACCCCTAACACTCAAGTACCACTATGTCAGTATGGTAAAATCTGTACTAGCAATATTTATAATAATGTTGGGACTACCAGAAACAAATGTAACTGGTGGTAAGAAAGTGCTGCTGTTTACCTGTGTGTCCACAAAGAGGAAAGTGACCTGCTTGTTCTGAAGGCCAGCCTTCAGCAAGATGCTTTTAATATCTTCTCTCCACTCTGTTTGACCATAGTTTTTAGACAGTTCAATCTGGAAACACTGATACCCTGACCTGAATGTGGACAAATGAGCTGTGAATACTGGGCGTGAAAATAATTATACCATATTGGTCATGTTTAATTTTAAGCTAATGTTTTAAAAAGGTGAACCATCACATGACAATAAAGCTACTTTGGTTTAGTTTAGAAAACATGCAAAAAACTGTGGTATGGTAACAAAGCAGATGTTTGGAGAGGCAAACAGCTGACATAAAACTGTGTGCTCAGTTGGCTGTTGTGAGGGTTGTATACAGTGCGGGAGTCTCACACATATGAGGCCAGCTTAGTGAGTGACTGGCGCCCACTGCCACCCACTCCAAGCAGAAGGGCATTGCCCAGGGGCTGGCGCAGGATACGGCTGATACGGCACACATGCTCAATGGCATCCATGAAGAGCACCAGCTTCATTTTGGTGGTATTGATGTGGTTGTAGTCTTCCATATATTCTTCCATCACTTTTGCCAACTACACAATATAACATAAAGAAATACAATATGTAACTGTCCAAATGACAGGTTTCATTTGAGAAGTGGGTTTATGTTTGTTGTTAATGGTGAGTTATTATTACTATTGAGGAATTGGTTGAAATGTCATGAATGGGATGTTAAGTGTTAACAGAGATGAGAAGATCTGAGAAATGTATTACTTTTGTTGGTAAAGAGGTTTATTTTGAAGGGCAGTATGTGTCAACCATGTGACTGGAGTTGAGTGAGGGGCGCCAATGTGGCATTGTGGGACAGAGACAGCATGGACAGAGAAGAGACATACAGCCCCAAAATTATTTTCTGCACATGGTTTTAGAGGCGCAAACGGTGAGGTGTACATATGTTGTATTTGTGCTTAATGTTGTTCATGTGCCTGTATTTGTATATATTTAAGATTCTTTATTGTTACTTTGTGTGAGGAAACAGAGAGAGAAAAATAAAACTTTCTGAAGACATCTGTACGAAGCGTGGCGATCCTTAAACTAGAACTAAACCAGTGCAGCTACACAATATAATGAATGGTAATAAAAATTGACAACTATTTTGGTAAACTATACAGGCATCCATTTACAGCATACTGCAGACATGAAAAACAGATTGAGAGGCTAAGGAAAAGTAAACACCTTCACAATGCACAAAGTAGCTACAGTAGTATATCCATAAGATATTAGCTGTTTAGCAACATATTTAAATATTTCAAAAATTGGTTGGCACTACTCACCATTTCCTTATCTTCTATGAGTGTGTAGACTTTGTGGTCAGCTCCAGGAATCATGAAATCCCCGTAAAGAACAGGTTGAGAGGACACAACCTCTTCAAAGCTGCAGTCAAACTCTTGAATGCAGTCCTTCAGGAGCCTGTTGAACCAATCCCTGTCTTTAGCACACACCAGACGGTCTTGGAAAACCCTGCAGCTTTCATGGTACCACAACTGCAGCAGCTGTACTTTGTTCTGAAAACACCACAGTAATTCTGCTTTTACATAGTGGATTATGAGAGAAACAAAAGCCACCATTTCAAAATCCTTTATACATGATTATCCTAGAGACCCATGAAATGTTATTGCATCTATCGTCAGTATGAACAATATGCTGCCTATAATGGTATTTCTAAAGGCTTAAGTGACTAAACCTGAAAAAGACATTTCTACAACTTCTTTCACTGAAGTAAATTTATTTATTTCACATTCATCTGATCCTTTTAGAAGCGACTACCTCTATCATGCCAGGTTCGGCCATGAGGATGCCCTGGAAAACCTTCGACAGGTCTCTGAGGTTGAAGGTGTAATGGGACTTGGCTGGAGTTGGGAGAAGCTGGGTGGTAATGGTAGAGTAGACTCGGATAGTGGCATCTACAAGAGAATCATTCAGCAGCTGGATTGCTGGCACAGGTCCTGATGAAAAACAGCAATACAGAAGAAAGAAATTATAACAGTATAACGGGAAATGAAAATCTATTTTCTTTAGGCTTAGATAATGTTTTATCATGGACATGTTCCCAAGCATGAATCAACTATATTGTTTTTAAATTTGTCATATAATTGTACTGTATATATAAAAAGAATAATTTAAATTGTCAATGAGTCATTCTATGTGTCTTTTCATATTATACACTATATATTGTAACTTAAAGAACATTAAATGACATTTTATATGATTTGTACTCCTTTCTCTTTGTCCTTGACTTACTGCCTGGGTCCCTTTTACTCATATTTCCATCTGTAAGAGAACAAGGATTTCAGTTAGAAACTGCGCAACCTAATGTGAGCATTCTTACCCTGTAGTGACTGTCCCACACCAACATTTATGGACTTGCAGTAAAATTCAAACACATAAGCAACTCTTGACTCACCCATCGAACTGCCTAGAATGGTCGAGAAAATTGTTTTCTTGTTGACATCCTCAATTTCAGTGAAGGACAGGAAGTTGAAGTGCCGTGTGAAACGCTGGGTGATGGGGTTCCGGCCTCCACCCGGTGGGCCCATGGCACAGGCAAAATTAATGTCTACTAGGTTCTTGAATGTCCCTATGTGAAAGGACAGGAAAATCAAAAAAGAAGCACAATATTTCACATTTTTGAGCAAAAATAACTAAACACAAGGCACCGTGCAGTAACAATTGTGTTTTAGACATGGGGAAAAATGCAAAAAGAACACTCAAGAACCAGTAACTACTATTAAAAGATTAGGGACACAACAGCAATCTTAGGAGAAGGGTAAAGTCCTTGAAACCTCTCACCTATCTGCTTCCTGTCATACCAGCCTCCATGGTCCATCCATTGCCGCAGCAGCTCAATAGGAGGCTGGGCACCATAGGTCTCCAACATGGGCATGTTTAAGTCATCAATAAAGAAGATAAAGCTCTTCCCTAATGGAGGTCCAAACACACCCTTCCGCCTGACACACAGGCACATGCATCATTCGAGTGGTGAGTCACAAATATAATGGATTGTAAACAATGTGTTTCTGTGTGAACAGTGTGGAGGCAGCATACCTTTTGTCTAGTTTACTGTCAATGTAGTCTTGAGTCTGGTTAGCTGAGGTGCGAGCAGAGAACATAAAGAAGTGTGAGATGTATTCAGCAGGCATGGTCCTCAGCAGCTTGTCTGACATAATGAGAGTCTTTCCTGTGCCAGTAGGCCCAATACAGAGCACCTGGATTACACACACCAAAATAAAGCTAGTCCATTGGTGATAATTCAAGGGAATTAAAGCTTTTAAATGTAAAACTTATATACCTGAATTCTACAGTGCTTCAGTATAAAATGGTTGCAGTATAGATACAGTTTTGATCTTTTTTAAATATTTATTTCAGTCAAAAGTATTTGTAGAGAATGTGTAAAGGTTAACTACAGTTATAGTACTCACAGGTTTCTTATTGGTTAAAAGCATATCCACCAGGAAAGACATTCTCACTGTGTCAGCAGTGGGAACAATGATGTCAGCATAATTTGTCTCTGGGGTGATTAATACACTCTCTGCGTAGTTCATCCAACTGACCCACTGGACCTAGAGTACAGGCAAAAAGATTAATGGATCAACAGAAAACATTGTATCTGGTGGTTTTAGCAGTTCAGGGATACAGTATTTATATTTAAGCATTATATATTTACTTTTTTTCCTTCATTTTCATCATCATCCTCCAAGTTACTAATCCCTGCATCGTCAAGCCTGTAGTCATATACCAGGCCCTCCTCGGGAAAACATAATTGAATCTGAAGGACATAAACACTTACTCGGTCAAGAAATAATCCAGCTATCATTACAAATTATATTTGAAATAACTTGGTACTGGCATGCTACAGCAAAGTTACTGATCTGACCTTCTCTTCTGCCATCTTGCTCTTGAGCCAGGCACTGAAGCGCTGGCGGCTGGCTGCGTCTCCTGTGGCTCCTACACTCCACACCAGAGAGAAGAAGAACCAGGGCTCAATCAGCTCCTTCAGATGGTCCACGTTCTTTTGAGTCAGCGGCCTTTTATCCTACAAGACAATTAATGATCAAGGGGAGCACAATCAACACAACACTGTCCAGCACATAGAACAAGGGATATTAAGAAAGCATAGGGCACACAGGTGACACGCTGACACTTCAGCATTCTTACTGTTTCAAAAAGCATATTTGCACAAAACTCTATATATTCCTTTATTGTGGGTTTTTCTAACAGCATAACTACACACACACACCTCTTTTTGGTCAAATGGATGGAAGAAGCAGTCCATAAGTTTAAAGAGGCTACAGGCAAGGTTGCTGTCTAGGGATGTAACAACCTCCTTTACTGATGTGCGGACAAATGTGATGGAGACCTATGAAAAAGTACAAAAAATACATAATAAAGTAGTACACTGCTTATACTATCATGCTCTACAACAGTAAAAAAGTCTTTAGAGTCCCTGCTGGCATCGCTCACATCTCACCTGCAGGAATCTGGCAAACAGGGAACTTAGCTGTTCTGTGTACGGTTTCAGGACTTCAGGGACCTGCCTCAGCCAGCACTCTGTAAAAGGGATAAGTTCCAGAATACTGGGTTCAAGGTAGACCATACCACAGCGAGACACTGTGGCTGGGGATGCCACAGCTAAGTCCTGCACTTCAAACATCATGGTCATCGCCTGCAGAAGGAAGACACCAAGCATCTAGCTGTACATGAGACAGGACACATAGACAGGGACAAAATCAAGATTGTGAAAACATAACCTTACATCAGTGAGCTTGATGATTTCCCCTGAGCTCAGGCACAGCTTTTTGTTGTCATCCAGCACAGTGTTCATGTTCTCAATCCACACAGCATCCACAGGCCCATCGAACATGTACCACTTCTTCTCTTTGTCCATGGATGTTGCACCACAGCGGATGAGAGATGAGAGGATGCCATCTGTCCTACAAGGGTGGAGAGAAAGACAAAAGTGTTGGCATGGTATATATTTTTTTTGTTTGTTCTATTTCTTTGTGTATAACAAAGCATCACTTACCACTCGTGTGTGAGTAAGTCATACTCCCCATAGAGCTGTCCCATGGTGATGGATTTGGGGTTGAGGACATATATCTGAACTGGTTCGTACACACCACCACTCACAGAGGGCTGGCCCTGCAGAGCTGTTATGGCCGCACCTAGTATCTCGTAACACTAACAAATGCAATAGTTATGCGAACATACAGGAGTCAACATGGCAAAACATAAATCAGTATCAACTTTGTGCATAAACCTGTAAACACTACAGCGACATGTAAAAGACTCACCTTTGTTTTCCCTGATCCAGAAGGCCCCACCAGCATCAAACCATGTCTCACCACTGTAGTTTCATACAGCTGAATACACTTAGTAATGTACCCTGAAATCACCACAATACTGTAACTACTCATTCTGAAAATACAGGTAACAATGCACCTGGAAAAAAACCACTAACCATCCACATCTTTGAGGTTCCTCTTGTGACAGACATTACGCATGGACTCTTCGAGTGTACCATAGCTGATAGGCTCTTTTTTAATCTTTGGAAAAAGATCGGACACAATACCATTGAAGAGCTTCAGATCGTCTTGTAAAAACTTTGGCACATTGACGTCCTGAATGGCCCGCAGACAGATCAGCTCCTGACAGATGGTGAGAGTGTAGAAGAATAGTATGTTATTTAAACAAAGAATCTTTGAACACCGTTCAATAATTGTGACATGTCTTCTTATGCTTTATTTCTATCATAAATGAAAGAAGCATTTCTAACCTCATTCATGTCAGGATTTTCTCTCTTCAGGTTTCCAGCAGCGGAAATCACAGTCTTCACAGCTCTCATACCAAAATCGTAATGATCCTTTATATAAGAAAGAACAAACATTAACATGTCTCATAGTGATATTTCATATGCATGCACATGCAATAATGTCTGTCACAATTATCATTTGGACGAATATCATATGTCCTTGGTTAGAAATAAATGTATGTGGACATTAAATTGATTGATTATGATTTCCTCTTGATCCCTACAGCACCTGAGAGCTCAGCTGTTCAGACGAGAGCTTGAATGTGGTGGTTATCTTCTTGGAGAGGACTTTGGCATCACTGAAGCCAAATGAGTACAAGGAGATCTCAGCTATCATAGCATAGTCAGGGACCATCATGGCCACAGGACGAAACAGGGCCTGTTGAAGATACAATCTCAGCCGATGAGCACTTTCTGCGTATTCTCAGTGTTATGCAGTTATTTACAGTATGAGCCAACTCATTTCAAACCTTGAGATTGTCAGGCAGTTCTGTGCGACCAGCATAACCAGGATTCATTGTGATGAATACAGCACAAGAAGAAACAAGAGGGATTTCCGACCCCTCAAACATAAACCGCGCCACCTAACAGCACAGCAAGCACACAGTTAACTCCTTTTTTCTATAGTGGCAAGTAGTGTAATGTCCTTAAATTCAAGACAGGTACATAATAATGATAATTATTGATAGTAATCAATTTTGAATATAAAACATAATGTAATTCATGTATAAACTGGATGGATAATGAATTTTTTTGCCACTACTGTATGACCTATTCATTATAGCTGATACATATATGAATTTTATAGCAATACGTGTGATGTTTGATTCAGGTATGTGTACATAGTACACTATTTTATTAAAACATATATTGTTTTTTTTTTTACTTTATGCTGTAGAGTAAACCAGGCTTTACACCCATCTTCTGCTTCTCAGATGGCTGCATAGCTTTGGAAGTCCCCTACTCCCTCTCCTTTTCAATGTCAGATAAGCAGGGATCAGTGTCTGACCTTTCTTTTTTTAACTTTACAAAGTTGATAATCAGACATTCACATCCATGTATTGCGATGGTTATAAAGCTGTGCAGAGATGAGAGGAGCCAGGCATTGTAATTCTGTCTCTGGCTCTCTTTTCATTTGTTACACAAGCATTGTTGCACTTTTTATGAGAACAACCAAGTGAAACCCTGTGAATGTCTTCCTAGACAGACGGTCTGAAAATCCCAACTTTTATCTCCATAAGTAAACAATATCATGTTTTGCTCCTTTCTAAAACAGCCATCTTTTTAAAACAAATTGTGAAAAAATGCAGCTGTTTGGAGCAACTACAAACATTTTGGAGTTCTGATATAGTTGATCTGATTGAACAGTAAGTCTGACAGTAGTTCTGACTCTGAGACCATACACTGGCCCAAAAGCTTCAGGTCTCTGTAATGACTCAAACATATAAAATGTATTTAAGCATACAATCTTTGTTCTTTCTTGAAATGCAGAATAGCTACATAAAATGAAAATATTCACTGTATTTATGCATACTTGTAAAACTCAGTAGGTGGATAAATACAGTGCATGCCAGCATGTGAACTCCTACATCTTCTCACCCTTTGCTGTTGTGCTTTTTGTATCGTGGTGATCTGTTGAGCCACCACAGACAGCACCTCCACATCAATGCGATTAAACTCATCAAAGCATGCCCAGGCACCGGAACTGCAGAAAGGAAAACAACACAAGAAATCCCTAAAGAATGTGGCTGACTGCAAGATTTGTTATAATTAATATCAAAACCACCAGTTCATCACACTTAAAGGTCACTCCCTCTTACCTGGCCAGGCCTTTGAAAAATTTGCCCATAGCAATGAAGTCCAGTTGATCAGAGCAGTTGAAAACCACTGTCTGGATAGCCAGAGCTTTCCCAAGGTCCTTAGTGGTTTCTGTTTTTCCTGTCCCCGCTGGACCTGCAGGGGCTCCTCCAAACTTCAAGTGCAGTGCTCCCGTCAGGGTCAGGTAGCATCTGAAAGGCAAAACGTGGTGTACTGCAAACAGTGTATGCCATTCAGGCACAAACAGAGCAGCTAACAATAGACTTAACTACCTGTCAGTGAGCGGGGTGATGACCAGGCGACCAGAGTTACCAAGGTACTCGTATCCATACAGAAACTCTGCATTTACTGCACGGATGTACAAGTCATCTTTTGCCCAATAATATCTACAAACAGTACCAGATCAGGTCACACTCTGTCTGCACCTACAGTATTTCAGAATGATACTATACAGTGAACTCCAAGGTCAGGAGTGACAGAAGTAAAAAGCAAAAAGGTTAGAAACAGCCAGTTAACCTAAGCTGGACGATCCACTCAAAGTCATTGACACTTGAGACCTTCTGCTCCACCAGTTTGGCAGCAACATCCTTAGCATGGACCTCTATGACAATGAGGGCTGAAAGCACAGCACGTTGCATCTTAGAAAGACCTCTTCTCACCAGCTGCACCAAGTCATCCAGCTGCACAAACGAAAAGCAAAATGTTAAGAATGTCAATTCTGTAGAATGCACAATGTTCAGTGCAAATGTGAGCAGGAAATCACAATTTTATTTTGCAGATTATAGATATTTAAAGTGTTATTTAATGTAAATATTTTCCAGTCTAAGACCACATCCACACCTGTGTCTGTAGCTGGGGATAAAGGCAGTTGGCTAAGTCTCCCTGCTCCAAAGCTGCAGACACCTCAGCAGTCCAGAAGGCCTGGCAGCCAGCTATCACCACTTGACCAGGCCATGATAGCACCCACTCTACACGAGGTTGCTGAGAGATCAAGAGGACACACAGTGGACACCTTAAAGTTGCTTCAACTTAAGATGGTAAATACAACCTATACAAAAGTAGAAAACCCATCACAACCATCAACATGAAAGTCAAGATCTCAGACCGTGGGGTAGTCTTTGAGTGAGCGGTCAATGTTATCCCTCACTGTGGCCTTCATAGACTTCTCCACATCCCTCAGCCAGTCCTCTACATTTCCACTTGGCCACACTGGCAGAAACAGCTTCACCTCCTCCCCGTCTCCAGAGTGCATATGTGTGATGTGCAGGTCTGACTGGAACTGAAGCTGAGAACCAATAGATGTCTCAGTCACGTGGCATGCATGGTATAGTTCAGTTATATATGAGCAGCAATTAAAGAAACACTCAGCCTCAACAAACCCGTGCAATGTTCTCGAAGCATTTGCGCAAGTGCGGCTGAACAGCAGTAGGATCTTTGGTCTGGGACAAAATCTCCAGGAGCTCATCATCTGACAGGAAATAAAACCTACAAACAAATTTTCACAGTACAGTATACCATATTGTGCATGTGTGTGTTTTAAGACATTTTGGTAACATAGCTCTGCCCATTAACCAAGGGGAGTTTGTGGTCGCTCACTTTGGAAACAGAAGATGTAACATTATGTGGAAAAAGTAATTTTAGAGTGAACTTAATATGAAACTAACAACATGTGAAACAGAGTATTTTCAGGACACTGTCACTGTTACCTGGGGAAGGAGCCTCGTTTTGTCTCCAAGTACTCACTAAGACCCTTCCGCACCTGTTCCAAAAGCATGTTGCACCCTTTCAGTCTGTCTAACAGACATGCATCTGGACACTGTTCAATCACCTAAAAGTAAACAGAAACACACATGAATAGTTTGACAATAATACTCATTATGTTTGTTGTAAACTTTACCAAAAATACATGAGCATAATTTTCATCCTGTTTTAAGCTCTGCCTTTTAATATGAAGTGATGTGGAAGCTCAGACCTTCCGATTACTGAAGACACTTTTCATGATTGTCCTCCATGTTTTCTCCATTTGCTGGTATCTTTTTCCTTCCACAGGCAGCTGCTGGTTGATATCTTCAGAGCTAAAGATAGGCTCCAGGTAGAGCCAGGAGCGCTGACAACTCAACCACTCCTCCAGGACATCCTGCCATAAGAGGGCAATAGCACAACATAAGACAATGCATGATAATCCCAGAAGGCACAGGAGCTTGTGTGTGTCTGTGTGTGTGTGTGCCTGAGTCATTCTACGCTTGCTCTCCCAGGTGTTGATGCGGTCTTCAAAGGCTTTCTTGAAAGGAGAGAAGGACATGCTCTGCGTCATGACAGTGTGGTCATCCAGCAACTGAAATGCTTCATCTGGGCTCTTCAAGATGTAGGTGCCTGTCTCCTTGTAGGGTAGCACATCGAACACTACTGTCAACCACTCTTGCTCCATCTTTTCCAGGGCCTGGGTGAGAAGGTGTGAAAAAAGTAGCATCCACCATTTTTATGAAGTTATTCATACAGTGACACTGTGCGGCTCTACTGCACTTGAGGGGGGTTCTGACAAGGAGCATCTCCACATGGTATGGTAACTGCTCTGCCCAGGACAGAGCGTACCATAAGGACCACACTCCCCTCCTGCAGAACATTTACATCCAACCGTACATGACCAGAGCAGAACTCCTCCCACCCCACAAAGCCACAAAACAAAACCTGAAGGGCTCAGGAGGAGCCCCTCTCCCCAGGTTGTAACTGCCAAATTGTTACAAAATTATTGTCTCATTTAACTACACAATTTGTATTCACACACTGATGAATAAACTTGATGCATAAAAGTACATATATTATAACACTACCCCTGTAATTTGTACTGACACACGGACTATATATTTCTTATATATGTAGACATTTATTCATTTATATTTTTTCACACAAACCAAATGTCAAACTCTCCTTTGTTCAACATGCTATTTTGTGTTGCAATTAAAAATTATAATAAATTAATTCTTTTATTTATTCATTACTCACTCAGTTGGAAAATTTGCATTTTACATTATGTATAATTATGTGGGTGACAAATTAAAGGTATCTATTTATCCATCTATAAATGAAGTTGCTTTGCCTTTGTTTCATCATTTTGAAGGTGTAGAACCCTCTCAAGTGCTCCTACTGTAAAAATATGTATAAATTCAGCATTTTGTTCATGCTGATGAGCACAACTTAATTCTTTATACAATACTGCATTTAGTGTAAGACTCTGGTTCAAATGTACCTGTTTAATGGTGTACTCTTTGCCAGCCATCTCAGCCACCTGTGCTATGTCATCCACATAATTCTGTAGGCCAAGCTCTAGGCAGTGGGAAAAGGTCAAGTTGGCTTTTGGTTGGACTTCCATCTGAATGCGTTCAGAAAGCATCTCCCAGTGGTGGCTTCTCATCCCTGGGTTCCTCAGGGCCTGAATTAGGGTGACGTAAGGACTGAAGTCCTCAATCTTACGTTGGACTACAGCTGCCACCCTCTGGCAGTCTCGAATAGTGAAGGAGAAAGAGTATGAGCCAGGAAACAACAGGTCTTTTTAAACTCACTTCAATTTGTCAAGTGTGAATGGTAATAGTTGTGTTGCCTACCAGGAATGTCCTTGAACTGTTTAATACATTTGAGTATAGTGTTGTGGGCATCTGTGACATTGCGCTCGAGCTGCTCAGGGTCAATGGAAGACAGTGGGTCATTAAGCCAGCTCTCATGCCAATGTAGCCAATCAGAGGTGGTGGTCCACAGGTCTTTATATGGCTGGAAGTCCTTTACCAGTTTCTGCAGACGATCATACTATAATACACATTGATGTTTCATTGTCAGAAAAGGCATGACAAATGTAAAACCATCTGGTAAACAAAATCATTTGATAAAATTTGTGTAAAAATCCTTTTGCTTGATGAACT